CACGGCAGCCCAACCACTTCCATCAAACCTCATCCCATCCATGATCTCAGCATCCTACAGGCACAGGATGGGTCACTGCCCCAAAGGAGAACCACCCCCTCCTCTCAGATCACCCCAGCGATGCCAGAGCCTGGTCCCCAGGGACAGGTCATGGGGTGCTCACCGAGCCCCCATCCCCACGGGCCTGCAGGAGATGACAGCCAAGTTAAAACCAAAAACCAGCCGTCCCCTTGGGCATGGCCACTAACACAGTTTATATTCCCTCTCCTTTGCCTTAGGAGATGTTAAAGCCAATTTGGGCTGACCGAAGGTTTGGGTTCATGTCTTGACCCCCACCTCCTGCCTGTCTGTGCCCATTCCATTCGACATGATGCTAGAGGACCTGGGACCAGAGCATGACAGCCTGGGTGGAGAGGAGGGGAGCTGACAGCCATGCCCCAGCCTCACCACTGAGGAGACAAGAGACACCTTCAAAGTGACACTCACAGCGTCTCCAAGTGTCTATTTTCATCTCCCCGTGTTTACAGGAAAAAGACAGAGGTGTCAGCACTGCAGCCTAGTGAAGCTCCCCCCAAAATTCCCACCGGGGAAAGGGGGGGGCTGGAGCGAGGGGGGGACATGGTGGGGGGCAACCAAGGAAAGAGCTGCTGCTGCTTAAAATTTTCTAATTTGTAACCTTGGCTGTCAGTTCACCTCCATCTGAGCAATTTTGCTGCGCTGAGTGTGGGCTGTCACTCCCGACAGCATCCGCGGGACAGGACGGGATGCAGTGGCTTCCCGAGGGCGATGCTGCCCAGGGGAAGATGCTGCCCAGGTTTCTCCCACTGACCCAGGGCTGAGGCTGAGTGGGGCCTGGTACGGGTTCATCACAGGGAAGAGCTTTTCCACTTTGCTCCACCATCTGCTCCACAAATCCAGGAAAAGGGAAAAGGAAGGAGAGAGCAGAGGGGAGGAAAAGCCCCAGCCGAAAGCAGCACTCAGCTCTTTTGGCAGTGGCCGTCCCCTCCTTCTTGCTTCCTCCCCACTGACTTCATTTACTTCACTTAATTAGCCCCCCTTCGGAGTTAAAAAGATAATTTGATAATGAGGATGTGAAAAGGCGGGAGAGGCAGAGCTGGGCTCCTGCTTGCAGCCAAGAGCCCCCAGCCGAGCCATGCCCCCCCGGTCGGCTGCAGCTCTACTCCCCGGCACCCCATAATTACCCACCCTCCTCCCACTAAAACAAATACAGAAAAATCGAGTTAATAGGGCTTAAAAGGCTGGTGCGGGCACGCTCAGCTCGCCCCTCGCCCATTAGGCCTTAACGAAGTTCAATTAGGAGCTTAGTAAAAATCAATGCAAATTAATTTTTCTCTTCTCCAACTCCCCAAGTCCAGGAGATGAGGGAGAGGAGGCACCTGGCCAGAGCCTTTGCTGCCACCTCTGTGGCCGTGGAGGGCTCTTGCTCTGCTGCTGACTGCCCGTGCCTCAGTTTCCCCTGTTGAGTGGGGGTCCCTGCGGAGAAGGGGTCCCTGTACTGCCCTGAGATGGTGGGAGCAAACAGCCACTGCACACCTCTGGGACCAAAGGGAACATCTCCCACCGGCCAGCCCAGGTCCCATCTCCTGCCCTGTTGACCTTGACCCCATTTGGGGTTCACAAGGCTCCTCCAGAGAGGTGGTGGGGTCACCCCGAGCTGCCCAGCACCCCAAAACCCCTGGGGAGAGGCAGGTCCCAGCAGCACCCTCCTGCTCCAGCCCCTTCCCATCCCAGCTCTCCATCTCTCCTGCAGAGCATCTCTTAGAGATGTTTCTGCTAATCCCACGGAACAAAACTGGGGGCAGGATCCTGTTCAAACCCACCACCAAGGTCTCGTCCCCAAGGCACACACACCCCCGCTGTCCCCACAAAGCCCGGTCCTCCCACGTCTGCCAGCACACAAACACGGCAGCGATCGCTTGGCAATGTCAGGCGGGAGACAGACATGACAGTTAAATGGGGTTTAGAGAAATTATTAAATGCTGGAGGGGTCACTAGAGCGTGTCAGTGGCTCTTAAAAAAATTAAATAGATTTTGACAAATTACTCAGCATCCTGCATGCAAATGCGCAGGCTGGCGTGTGCGGTTTGGGGTTGGGTTGGTTTTTTGTTTGGATTTTGGTTGTTGTTTGTTTTTTTTTTTTTCCCCTTCTTTCTGTTTTAATTTGATTATTCAAACTCAGATCAAATGATTTGGGGTTTTGTTTCTCGCCTTTCATGGCTGATGCTCTTGCAAAGGGGCCGGTGCCCCGTGGTGGGGAGGGAGACTGTGGGATGAGTCTTATCAAAATATTTGCTGACGCCTTGCACAGAGGGCAAGTTTAAAGAAAGGGAGCATCTAATTAGGTATTAATGAGATTTAAAACAAAAGAGTGGAGGCAAGGAGATGGGATATGATGATGAGCCACCTCATTCCTTGGTTTTGCATGGGGCAACTCGCTGCCTCTGGAAATTTCCAATGAAGTTGATCCTGATGGATGATCAATACTAAGAGTTAGAGCCTCAAAAATGTGTTGATAAATCGAAGAATTAGCTTTAAAAAACCCTTAGTAACTTGCATTGGCCTTCTGCGCTTTGGACCTGTGCTCTAGAGCCTTGCACCCTCCAGGACCTCCCACGAGCATCCTCCCACGCCAGTCCATAGCTTGGTGGCTTTTCCACTGGAGACAGATCTCACCCAAGACTTGGGGTCTCTGGTGGCACTGGGACCCCAGGGCTGGTGCACAGCGGCACTGGCAGCGAGCAGGCAGCTGCCTTCGTTAGAGAGCAACAAGGAGTCCGTGTCACGGGGAAATCTCGGTCAAAAGCTGATGGGGAGAGAGTGGTCAAGAGCTGCTGCTGCGACCTGAGCCAGAGTACCCAGTGATGTTGAGCACCCACCACATCCCACCAGGGTTTTCCCTTTTTTTGCTGTTTTTAGGGCAGGGACAGCACTGCCAGCACTTGCTCACCTCTGGACTTCATCCCGATGAAGCGGTTCTCCACGATGTCAATGCGCCCAACGCCATGCTTGCCCCTGCCGAAGAGGAGAGAAGTTATAGCAGCCCCAGCAGGATGTGGGTATCTGTGAGGGGTGGGACAATGGGGGACAAACCCCAAATGACAGCGTGGCCAGCCCCTGAGTGACACTACTGACAGTCAATAGTGACCCCCAGATAGGGCAGGTGACAAGGAGATGGATTTTCTCTCCTTTTCCCCTCGTCTTTGCTGTGCCACCAGTCTCCCCAGCCTTTCTTGCTGCTGGGGTTGGCAGTGGCACATCACACATGGGCCACCGGAAAATAAACCAGGCAAGGGGACAGGCCACTCTGCAGCTGTATCCCTGATGACCAAAGTAATTTTAAACCCACTTAATTAACATTTAAAAAGTAAACTACATGGAAAAGTTCATTCCCATTCAGCTCTGGGAGGATGAAGGCTGAGGCACAAAGGAGGATGGCTGGGAAGTGGGTGGCACTTGGCACAGGGCGGGAGGAGCGGGTGCCCTCAGGGGTGCTGCCGTATTTTTGGGTGTACCCCTGGGGATGGCTCTGCCCTGGTGGCAGCAGGAACTGGACACAGGGCGGAAAACCCTGAAGGAGCTGCTGCTGGGGAGGCAGAGTGGGGACAGAGTGATGGACCTGGCCAGCATGGCTCTAAGCCCCTAAAAAGCCTGCTCTTCACCCAAAAGAGAGCAGGGTGCCCTGGGGGCCCAGCCACCCCCAACCACGGACAGGGCAGCCCTCACCCAACCCTGCAGCTGGGGCACACAGCAAACAGAGGGTGTTAATGAGACTTTGTACCCCTCCTTGTGCGCAGGGAACATGAACCCTAAACACTCCTGCGCTCCTGGACTCTGTATCCAGCTCCACTTGCTGGGCATGAATGGCACAACTGGGACAGTCCCATTCTCATACTGCTGACCACCATCCCTAGGCTCACTGGGATGAGCATCCTGCTTCCACCCCACCCTGGGGACCCCAGGGACACTGCCCTCATCCCCACAAAGAGGTGGCAGTGGTGGCAGGGGACAACGCGGCACTCACGCGATGTTGTTCAGGTACACGAAGAGCTCCAGTGCCGAGCAACGGGTGGCTCCATCCCCAGTATTGGTGACCTTCACGGGGACACCTGCGGAGGCAGGGAGGGAGGATCAGCTGGTGTCATGATCCCCCCCGGAATGTCACCCCACAGGCGTTAAATAGATGTGACAGATATGAACTCTAAATAACTTCTTAAAAAGGCATATCCAAGCTGGTGCAGGGGGGAGGCGAGGGGAGAGGGACCCCCCTTGGGAGAGAAGAGAAATAAATAAATAAATAAGGCCATAAAAACGTCCCCCCTCCTTTTCCCCTCTTCTCTGCCTCTCTCTTTTTTAGGGCCTGTGAAATTGCAACCAGGCCCTTAACTAATTGAATTTCACGCTCGGCAATTGTCTTACAGCGCAGCACCTTCTGTCCCACCAGCCCCTGCCAGGGGGGCTGACGAATGTGTCCCCCCTGCCAGCATGGGGAGGGGTGTCTGGGGGGGGACCCCCACACCGGGACACGGCTGCTCGCACACGCATGCACACGCACCCCGCCGCAGGGTGCTCCCCGCCATGAATTAATTATTGCACTTTTCTTTTTTCTTTCTTTTTTTTTCTTCTTTTTTTTTTTTTTTTTCCTTAATTTTTGTTTTTTAAGGGCTCTTGGGCAGGAGCTGGGCAGGGTAGGGTGAAGGGGGGGGAATGCTGAATAGAAAGAGGCATTTTTCTTTAGCGGTGTGAAATGAGCAATAAATGTATTAGGAAGCTGACAAGGGGGCTGCGGGGCCCACAAAGAAAAGCGGTGCGGAGTTGGAGGCTAATCCCCCCTCCATCTGCCCTCCTCATTACCATTTAACGCACTATCACTTGCCAATCAGCCTCAATACCTCCCTTTCTAGTCTTTATTACGAAGGCGCCCGCAAGAGCCCTGCCTAGTGATGGGGGCTGTCAGCTCCCCCCCATCCCCCCCCCCCCCCTTAAACCCCCTATTTTCCAGGGGTTTATAAACTCAGTTGTAAATTGCTATTAAATGTAACTCGCGGTAATAATGAACCTTAAGCTGCTTCTCGGCGCTGGCCCCCCCTCTGCGCCCTCCCCTCGCCCCGGCTCTTTCTATTCGCATCCTCTGCCGGGGTATTGGCCGGGGTTCGCTCAGCGATGTCGGGGCAGTTGTTGGCGAAAGCTGCTTAGCCTTGAAAATAGTTAATAATTAGATTAAAACTTCAAATAAATTAACTAAGGGCTGAATGGGCTGCTGGGAGGAGGGGGGAGCTGCTCCTTGCAGGGAGATGGTTATAATGGAACAGGGATGCTGGTGGTGGGGAGGGGACCCTCTCTGAGCAGGGTCTCCTCAGTCTGAGCTGGGCTTGTTGCTGCTGCTGGGACAGATGGTGGCACGGGGATGCCCATGGCTGGGAGAGGGGGGGGGTGCCACCCTTTG